CGAGTATGGGCTTGCCTGCCTGCCTTCCTCTCTCTCTCTTTCTTCCTCCCCTCCCCTCCCCTCCTCCCTCTCCTCTCCTCTTTCCTTTCCCCTTTCCTGTCCTTTCCTTTCCTTTTTTGAGATAGGGTCTCACTCTGTCGCCCAGGCTGGAGGGCAGTGGTGCCATCACAGCTCACCGCAGCCTTGACCTCCCGGGCTCAGGTGATTCTTCCACCACAGCCTCCCGAGTAGCCGGGACCACAGGCACGCGCCACCATGCCTGGCTAATTTTTTGGTTTTGATAGAAACAGTGTTTCACCATGTTGGCCAGGCTAGTCTCTAACTCCTAGGCTCAAGGGATCTGCCTGCCTCAGCCTCCCAAAGTGTTGGGATCACAGGCGTGAGCCACTGCGCCTGGTAGGGTACGGAGTTTCTTTCCGGGGTAGTGAAAAGGTAAAATGACATTGTGGTGATAGTTTACAACTTGATGAATCACTGAAAACATTGAATTGTACACTTCAAACAGGTGAACTGTATGGAATGTAAATTCTCTCTCAATAAATATTTTTTAAAAGTTTTTCACTTTCAGCCAGGCATGTTGGCTCACATCTGCAATCCCAGCACTCTGGGAGGCTGAGGCGGGCAGATCACCTGAGGTTGGGAGTTTGAGGCCAGCCTGACCAACATGGAGAAACCCTGTCTCTACTAAAAATACAAAATTAACTGGGCAAGGCGGCGCGCACCTGTAATCCCAGCTACTCAGGAGGCTGAGGCAGGAGAATTGCTTGAACCTGGGAGGCAGAAGTTGTGGTGAGCCAAGATCATGCCACTGCACTCCAGCCTGGGCAACAAGAGTGAAACTCTGTCTCAAAAAAAAAGTTTTTCATTTTCAAATGCTAGAAAATCCAACTTAAAGTGATTTAGGCAAAAAGGGAATTTGTTGGTGCCTATTCCTTGGTAAATGGGTCAGTTCAGAGGTAGTTTGGCTTTAGGTACTGCTGGATCCAGGGTCTGAAACAGGTTGTCAGCACCCAGGCCAAGCCCATCCCACACAACAGCTGAGTATACGGAGACACCTGAGTGCTTTTGCCCCAGTAAAGGGGAGTTGCCCTTGGGCAACCCAAGCCCCCTGCAGGCTGCACTGGCACAGGGGAGGAGGAGGGCAAGGCCTTCCCGGCCCGTCCAGGCAGAAGGCAAGGTTGGGGAAGTTCTGGGAGAGAAAGGGAGCTGTCCTTAGTCCCTTGTTACTCTCAGCTGCTCTGTGATCCCAAGAAAATTCTTCCCCACCATATTCATTCATTTGGTCACCCCCACACATTTGTTAAGTACCTAGTGTATACAGACACTTACTGCCCTGGGGAGAGAAAGTGAATACAGCAGATCTGGTCCCTGCCTGAAGCATTTAGTGACAAGCATTGATGATGACACAAACCCGGCCACCGGGGTGCCGAGCGCTGATACAAATGGCCTGAGAGGTGATGGGAGCACAGGGCAGGAGCACCCATCCTGGCCTTGGGTGGGGTGGGAGGCCAGCCAGGCTTCCTGGAAGAACGAGAGACCTGAATGAATACACTAGGCAGAGGGAACAGAGTACGGATGGGCAGAAGCCAGCTCAAGTAGGTGGGATATGAGAACTGGAGCATGGGGTGAAGATGGGGAGGCAAGAGGGCTCGGCAGACAGCAGTTTGGGAGAGCCTTGGGATCCGTGTGAAGGAGACCGGGAGTTATCCTGAGGCCAGTGAGCTCTGATGAAAACCTGCCTTGACGGAACAGGTGGGAACTCGCCTGGGCTGCGCTGCATGCTGCAGGAAGCTGGTTTACACTGGCCAGGGCTCTCAGTGCATTATTGTGACTTTTGGGTTCATCTCCCCAATTTCTGAGCCTTTCCACCCTAGCTTTGACTTTTGGGTGCACCCACCCTCCTGGAGTAGCTCAGCCCCTTCCCAAAGCCTTGCCTAGACTCTACGACTGCCGCTGCCTTCCTGGATGAACCAGCAGATTCACGAACCTCTTCCTGCCGCCCACACTGCTCAGTGACCTTCCACGGGGATGGACGGATTCACGATAGGTAAGACAAAGGTGTGAGGAAACCACTAGCCACCTCATTCTAATGAGGTCTAATCATAGTTGTTAGCCCTGGGAGCCAGACAAGGAGGAGGGAAGACATAAAAGCAATCCATCCGGGAAAGCGTTTCTTTGGATGTCTTTTTCTTTTTTCTTTTCTTTCTTTTTTTTTTCTTTTTATTTATTTTTATTTTTTTATTTTGGAGATGTTGTCTTACTCTGTCATCTAGGCTGGAGAGCACAGGTACCATCTCAGCTCACTGTAACCTCCGCCTCCTGAGTTCAAGCGATTCTCCTGCTTCAGCCTCCCGAGTAGCTGGGACTACAGGTGTGCGCCACCACGCCTGGCTAATTTTTGTATTTTTAGTAGAGGCAGGGTTTCACCATGTTGGCCAGGCTGGTCTCAAACTCCTGACCTTAGGTGATCCACCCACCTCAGCCTCCCAAAGTGCTTGGATTACAGGCGTGAGCCACCGCGCCCCATCTAGATGTCTTTATATACTTGGCATCATCTGCTGAGCAGGAAGGGGTGAGTGGGACCTCTGTAACTCTCTACAGCTGTCCCCAAGTGCCATGTTGGCAATATCAGCTCATGTCAAACAAGGTCAAAACATGGATCACAGAAATAGCCACAGCTGAGTGTCTTAAAAGCACTTTCAGACTACACCCTTCACTTCATGTGACAAGCATTGATTCAACAAATGTTTAGGGGAGGCTGACTTCCCAGTCATGTCTTTGTTTGTTCATTTATCATTCACTCAAAAATGTAACGATTGCCTCCTACTGCGTGCCGGACACTGTGCCAGGTGCTGAGGAGGAGAAGAGAGAAGGAGAGAGAAGAAGAGAAATCTGGTAGCGCTCCCCACTCCCCACTTGAGTGGATGAGACCATGAGTTAGAATATAGTTACGTGGCAGAGCGGTATGTGCTATAATGGGGGTGCACAGGGTGCTGACAGAGCTCAGAGACACCTAAAGTGGCTCCAGGGGACCCCTGGAGAGGGTGTTTATGGTGAAGGCTGAGAGTGAATGAGTGTTCTGCAAGGAAGAGCTGTGTGCACGCGTTCTAGCAAACACAGACAAGAAAGTGAAAGCAGCTGTTTTGAATAAAAACAGCCATAAACCATAAGCAACTCTTATGTCTACCTACAGTAGAAGGGATCAGTCACACTGGAGATATTCATAGGATGGAATATTATACAGCAAAGAGAACAAGTGAACCTAAGGGACCCAGCCACAGGAATGAATCCCAAGCACAATGTTGGGCAGAAAAGAAAGGATTTGGTAGGATTCCAGTCCCACGAAGCTCACACACAGGAAAACTAGGCCACAGTGCTTAAGATGCACATAGACAGGTGGTAACATTATACAGAAAAGCAAAGGTGATCATAAATTCAGGTGAATGGCTCTGTCTGGAGGGACGAGAAGGTTATGATTGGAGAGGGATACACAGTGGGTTTTGGGGGTTCCAATAATGTCTAATTCCTTGACCTGAGTGGTCATTATCTGGGCATTTACTATTTAAATATTCATTAAATTATACAAATATGTGGCTTGGCCAGAGACAACTCATTTTTTTCCCAGCAAGGGGACATTTGCACACTTGAGACAGAAGAGTGTGGTGGCTGCAAGCCTGTGCTCTGCTGTCAACTGCTTCTTCACTTCCACCTTAGGTAAGTGAGTTGGCCTTTATGAGCTTCAGATTTCCTCATCTGTAAAATGAGGGTAATAATACTACCAGCCTCATAAAGTTGCTTTAGGATTAAATACGATATGATAATATAGGTTCAGCACAGAGCCAGGCACATACATGTAATAATTATCACTATCATTATCACTACCATGATCACCATTCCCATAATCCTCATCACCATCACTACCATCATCACCATCACCATCATCATCACTACCATTGCCATCATTATAATCATCACCATCATCACTATCCTCACCACCATCACCATCATCACCATTATCACCATCATCACTACCATCATCACTATCACCATCATCATCACCACCATTACCATCATTATAATCATCACCATCATCACTATCGTCACCATCACCACCATTACCATCATCACCATCACTACCATTATCACCACCATCACCATCACTATCACCACCATCACCATTACCACCATCACATCACCATCACTGTCACCATCACCATCATCATCACCATCATTATAATCATCACCACCATCGTCATCATTACCATCATCACTATCACCGCCATTACTGTCATCATTACCATCATCACCATCATCATCATCACCACCATCATCATCACCATAACCATCCTCACCATCATCATCATCACCATCACCATCATTAACATTGTCACCATCTTTTTTTTTTTTTTTTTTGAGGCAGAGTCTCGCTCTGTGGCCCAGGCTGGAGTGCAGTGGCCAGATCTCGGCTCACTGCAAGCTCCGCCTCCCGGGTTTACGCCATTCTCCTGCCTCAGCCTCCCGAGTAGCTGGGACTACAGGCGCCCGCCACCTCGCCCGGCTAGTTTTTTGTATTTTTTAGTAGAGACGGGGTTTCACTGTGTTAACCAGGATGGTCTCGATCTCCTGACCTCGTGATCCGCCCGTCTCGGCCTCCCAAAGTGCTGGGATTACAGGCTTGAGCCACCGCGCCCGGCCCATTGTCACCATCTTTAACATTGTCATCATCTTTATCACCATCACCATCACCACCACCATCACCATCACTATCATCATCATCATTGCCATTATTACCATCACCACCGCCACCACCATCATCACCATCATCACCATCACCATCACCATAACTATCCTCACTATCATCATCATCACCATCACCATCATTAACATTGTCACCATCTTTAACATTGTCATCATCTTTATCACCATCATCACCATCATTACCACCATCACCATCACTATCATCATCATCATTACCATTATTACCATCACCACCACCACCACCATCATCATCACTAGCACATCATCATCTTCATTATCCTCTATATCATCATCACAATCACAAAGTTTATTTTTCCTTCGTGTTAATCCATCCAAATTACTTCTGCTTTATCCCCCTCTTCTTCCTTCCTCCCACCTCTCTTTTCATAATTATCTTCATCTTGAAATTGAATGACCAGTGACAGCACTATCTGGAGTCATGGGTAGTTCTAGATCTTAGTAAGTAAGGAAGTAAAATCATGCTTATCATTTTGTCAAAGCTCTTCCATTCTCAATTTTACATCACGTCTTATCAACAGACCCCCATATCCCAATTTTTGGCTCAGTTTGCTTCCTCTACTTGTACTAGAAATGCTGATCACATCCTTCTGCCATCACGAGGGAGGACCCTGGACCCCACTACTTGACCACAGCTAATTGAGTCAGAAAGGGACACCTGACCCAAGCTGAATGTCTCTCCTAAGACTCAGGAATCAGGATCCCCAGAGTTCAGGTTAGTGACTGTCGGGATGGGAAGAGCAGATTGCAACAGATAAAGCTGGTCTATGGAAGGCAGAAACACAAGGCAGGATGGCTGAGAGCAGAGACGTAGGGCCCAGTAAAATAGAGAGGTTTGGGTCGTGTCATAGTGAGAAGGTGGCCATCTGCAAGCTGGGCAGAGAACTCTCACCAGGGACTGAATCAGCCAGAAGCTTGATCTTAGACTTTTAGCCTCCAAAACTGTAAGACATTTCTGTTGTTTAAGTTACCCAGTCTGCGGAATTTTGTGCTGGCCCTCAAAGACTAGTACGTAGGGCTTGGTAAACGTTTTCTGTAAAGGACAAGATGGTAAATATTTTATGCTTTGTAGGCTATATGGTGTCTGTCACAATGACTCCACTCTTACGTTGCAGTGTAAAAGCCACTCCAGACACACAAATGAATGGCCATGGTTGTGCTTCAGTGAAATTCTGTTTATGAAAGGCAGTGGACTAGATTTGGCCTCTGGGTTACGGTTTGTGTGATGCCTGGCTTAAAACAACAATCTTTTTTTTTTTTCCCAGAAAATTGAAATGATGACAAGGTGTGATGGGGAACGTCTGTCTTGGCTGCATGTGGCTTTAGCTAGGGTGGCCTGCCTGGGGTCTGGAGGGTCTACTTTCAAGATGGTACACTTTTATGGCTGTCAAATGGTACTGGCTGCTGGCTGGGAGTCTGGCTGGAGCTGTAGGCTGGAGGACCCTGTATCTCTCCTTGTTGGCATGTCCAGGGGCTGCTTGAACCTCCTTACATCATGGCATCTTGGTTCCAAGCTTGAGCACCCCAAGAGCATGAGGCAGAAGCTGTGTTGCTGCTTATGAATTGACCTTTGAAGTCACATCATGTCACTTCTGTGATAATCACACACTGGCCCAGAGTCAAGGGAAGGGAATGCAAAGCCCACCTCTCAACAGAGACCTAGAAATACCCAAATGGTGGTCCCACTTTGCTCCCCCAAAGCACTCCCTCAACAGGAGGGGTGTCAATACCACCCTGAAAGAAGATCATGTGGAATGGGGGATCTTGTGGACGTTTCACAGTGTTATGGTAAACACAGGCAAAGACAAGAAGGCAAGCACAGATAAGTTGATTGTGGCTCAGTTCTTTGAAGGAGATCAGTAGGCTTTTGTGGGGATGAAGGGGGAACTAACTTTCTGCAGTACAGTCAGGAAGCCTCTCTGGAGCTGAGACCAGAAAGCTCTACTGTCATGGGAAGAGGCACCAGGCAAAAGAAGCAGCAAGGACCCATGCTGGAGGCCAGAAAGGGTGCAGGCTGGAAGGCCAGGCAGACTTGAATCCTGCCCAGTCATTATTTTCCCTCTGGCAAGGCACTTTACCTTGGTGGGGAAAAGTGCGTCTTTTAAAAAGGAGAGTAATTCCAAATCACCTGAGTCCACGAGATGACTAACGTGCTGTCTTCATCCTCGTGCCTGGCTCACATGTGGGTTACAGCTTTTTTGTCTTTCTCCCTGGTTTTTGTTTTTAAATTGCTGGCTGGTACTATGTTTATGGGCTTGGAGAATTTCCTCCAAAATGAAATCAATACTGCCAGCCCTACTTTATGGGGGAGTGATTTCCAAATTGCACAGAATAAATGCCTCTAATATCTGCATTTCTGAGACTAGAGCCTGTCACCGCTGGAGTGACTGACTGCAGGAGATGAGACAGGGTCAGTTGGCGGTAGGGGTGGGGGGCTTGGAACCGCAGGAGCAGAGGGTACACTGGCCAAGGGTGGAAGGTGCTGACCAGTAACTGCTTGGAAAAAACCACCGTGTTTCAGTAGGATCTCAGTTGCAATCCACTGCTTGTGTGAAGGAGGGCTGCTGATTCAGCAGCAAAAGGGTTGGAAATAAAATGGAAGAAATGGAAAGTAGAGCGTATGAGTGGTGGCAATGTTTATTTCAACAGGCAGAGGGCTGGGCGTCTCCATGCAGGAATCCATGACCCTCCCTGGGGGGCTGGCTTCTGGTAACATTACTTCTCACTTCCTGAGCTCTTACTGAGTGCTGGTCGCCTGGCTTTTGAATTCCCACGGTAACCCTACGGGAACTATGTCATCTCCGTTTTACAGATGAGAAAACTGAGCTCAGGGACATTCGGTGACTGCCCAAAGCCACAATGCTGGTGGGCCCTGGAGCCAAGGTTTGAACCCGAGTCTCTTGAGGACGAGGTGCTGTTCCTTTGGCCCACACATCTACAATAGAGAAATTTTCATGGACATGAAACAGCTCAGAGATATTATTTCATACCCATTTAGATGAATCAAGTAAAATAAATGGAAAGAAAATCAGAAGTTTGAGGACACCAGTGCTGGCCAGGAAATAGAGAACCACAAACTCAGGCACACTGAAGGGTGACAGGTCAATCGCTGCAGGTGTTTGGAAAGCAATTTGGCAGCTTCCAATAAAGTCCAAGAGGTAGCTGGTCCGATGATGCCACCGCAGACATTTTGAGAACTTCTGTAGAGGGGCACAGGGAGACAGCTCTGGGAAGTTCACTGAATCACTGTAACTGCACAAAACACAGCCGACCGCCCTAAATGTCCCTCATTGGCAGTGGGTGTATAAGGAGGTGACTGTCCTCCTGGCTGCTCCTACCCTGGGGAGGAGGCTTTGGTGCCCAAGGCAGGAGACTGAGGTTGAACTCTGGGACTCCCAGGAGGGGCTGATTTTCCTGATAGCCCCATGAGCCAAGAGTGAGCCAAGAGTGGGGACCACCGTGATTCTCTCAGACAGGGGAAGATCGGAGCAGGGCTCCTGGCTGATTGGAGGCTCCGAATCGCACCTCTTCTCCTGTCCTAATCTCAGACTCCAGGCCTGGCTTGCAGTTCCTGGCTCATCGCGCCGCGAAGTCACCGGCCCACGCTCCCAGGAGCGAGGACCCTGGGCAGCCTCCCCACCCGGATCAGCCCACTGCACCGGGCTCCTGCCATTTCCCGCACGCATTCCAGGAGGGCTGGGGACGCCGGCTTCTGCCTGAGGATTTATGGTCCAGGAAATGCATTTTAAATGGGTCCCAGGATGCTCGGATCCAAGAATCAGACACCGTCTCTTGGGGGAGGGTGGGGCGGAGGGTGAGAGTATGTCTGGAGAGAAACCTAGAAACGCCCGAATGGCGGTCCCACTTTGCTCCCCCAAAGCGCGACCGTTCCCCGAGTGGGGGGGCTACCTGTTGGCCAGGGCGCACGGAATTCGGGTGACTTTGCTCCAAGATAGGTGCGTGTGCCTCAACTCTCATTTAATTTATAGGGGAGAGGGATTCGCCAAATCCCTGTTTTCTGGGGTAAGCCCCCCTCCCCCCACCCTTGGACCCAAGCTGCCCTGAAGGAAGAAGGAAAGAGTGTTTGTCACCGGAGAAAACCACCTGTGGTTTGCAAAGGGCCTCAGTCGAGTCAGGGGCAGGCGGGGCAGATCCGAGCCCGGCGGGAGGGGCGACGCGCGGGAGCGGGCAGGGGCAGGGGCGCTCAGCTCGCAGGGCCTCCTCTGCCAGCCTCACCGCCCGGCTCCCGGGAGGGGGCCGAGGGCGCCCTGGGTGCTGGGCGCCTTCCCATTACGCAGTTCCTGTGCCTTTAAATCCCAGTCCCGGAGGGGGCGGGGGCGCCCCGGCTGGACCCCGGTTTCCAGGCCGGCGGGGGCCCCGGGGAAGCCCCGGGCGGGGAGCGCGGGGCGGGGGGCGCGGAGGGCGGGGCGCCCAGGGTCCCCGCCCGCGCGCCGAGCCCCAGCCTGCCCAGCCGCGCCCCTCTTGTGACCGTCGCGCTCCGGGGGCGGGGGCGGGGGCCGGGGCGGGGGCAGGCTGCGAGGCGCGCGAGCGGGCGGGGTGCAGGCGCTGCGCCGCGCGCAGCGAAGCGCGCGAGCCGGGTCAGAGCGCACGCCGCCGCCACCACCGCCGCCGCCGCCTCTCAGGCCGCCACATTGCTGCTGCCGCCGCCGCCCCGCGCCCGGCCGCGGCTGGCCTGGTGCAGCGCTGGCGCGCGCCTGCCGCCGCCGCCCGCCCGGGCCGCCGCCGCGCCGCCCTCGGGCGCCCGCAGCACGCGGCAGCCGCAGGTGGGGGGGCCGCGGCCCGGGCCTGAACCGCCCCGCCCGGCCTCGGCGCGGCGCCTCCCCGCCAGGCTGCGGCGGGGGCCCTCTCGCCGCTGAGGTGGAGCCACCGCGGCCCGGGCCTGAACCGCCCCCCGCCCGGCCTCGGCGCGGCGCCCTCCCCGCGGGGCTGCCGGCGAGGGGCCCTCTCGCCGCTGAGGTGGAGCCGCGGGCCCCGCCGCCGCCGCTCCTGCCCCCTCCCTCCCTCCTCCCCTCCCCCTCCCCTCCGGTCCTGTCTCCAGCGGGAGCGCGAGACGCTGGTCAGGCTCCGCGGCGCAGCTCGAAAAGGAATAATCGCCCCCGATTGACTGAAATTCCACCGGAGCCGGCGCCGCGGCCGCCCGCGCCCGAGACCGCGCTCCGGGGCCGCGTCCTCCTCTCCTCCGGAAAACGCTCGCGACCCAGGGCCGCCGGCGGCCGCGACTCCGCTGTGTCGATCGCCTGAGTCCGTTTTCACCGTTTGCGGGATCTGGAACCGAGTTACATGCATGTCCAGTGGGGGCAGGTTTAATTTTGACGACGGAGGGTCCTACTGTGGAGGCTGGGAGGACGGCAAGGCGCACGGCCATGGCGTCTGCACCGGCCCCAAGGGCCAAGGCGAATACACCGGCTCGTGGAGCCACGGCTTCGAGGTGCTGGGCGTCTACACCTGGCCCAGCGGCAACACGTACCAGGGCACCTGGGCGCAGGGCAAGCGCCACGGCATCGGCCTGGAGAGCAAGGGGAAGTGGGTGTACAAGGGCGAGTGGACGCACGGATTCAAGGGGCGCTACGGGGTGCGGGAGTGCGCGGGCAACGGGGCCAAATACGAAGGGACCTGGAGCAACGGGCTGCAGGACGGCTACGGGACCGAGACCTACTCGGACGGAGGTAGGTGCCGCGGGCCGGGCCGGGGCGGGAGGGGACCTGCTTCCGATCGCGCCCCTTCTGTGGATCTCCGGGGAAGTTGAGCTGCGCCCTCCGGTTGGGCCGTGGGCACCAGGGGCCTTTCCCGGGCTTCCCTGGAGGCCACGGAGGCTCCTGGCTACAGGTTGCCCCGCTGCCTGGTGGGGACAGTGCCCCTGTGCCAGCTGAAGGGTGTTGGGGGCTTTCCAGGGGCAGAGCCAGGCGGGGCCCAGCAGAGCCTCCGTGCGTCGGACACAGCAGGCCGGAGACCTGCGGGAAGGGCCAGGCTGGGCCCGCGGCCCTGGGGAACCCAGCAAGGACAGAGGGGGCTGGGAGAAGGGCCCCTCCCCCTGTTGGCTTTGCCCCCCACCCAGGAGGCCGCCGTTCGATCAGGCCTCAGCTTCGCTTCTAGTGTTCCTGCAGCGCCCGAGGGCCTTCCTCAGCCCCGAATCTGCCCAAGCGGAGGGAAAGGGAGTGATGGGGAGCGCTAGGGGCGGGGGATGCCAACCCGAACCAAAACAGCCAGGCAATAAACTTCTAGGTGGTTGGACGCGGACTAGAGCTGTCGAAGCAGGCTGCTGGAGGGAGGAGGGAGGCCCATCTGCTCAGTGAGAGCCCAGGAATCTCGCCTTTCAGTGGCTGCATCATTTTCACCATTAGTTGAGGGAATCGGTCTGTGCTTTCATTCTAAGATGCCACCACATTCGGGGCAGAGCCGGGCCGGAAGCCAGGGAGCTGCCTGCTGCTGCTGCTGTTGCTGCTGCTGCTGTAAGATGGTTTCTGTGCAGGGAGCCTTGGCCGGCTCTGCAGCTGCCCGCCTGCCTGGATACTCCGATATCCACTCCTCAGTGCACCTGACACATATGGAGCCGGTCCTTTCCTGGAAGCCAGACCCCAAACAAACAGACTGGCTTCCCCGACCAGTCCACCCCCATGTGGGAGCTCATGCTCAGAGGCCCTGGGTCCCCTGCCTCCCTCGGGCGGCTCGCCTGTTTCAGGCTTGGATGCCTGGGAAGGGAGTGAGGTGCAGCGATGACTTGTGCTTCTGCCGGGAATAAAAATCCTGAGCGTACGTGTGGTCTGGTCCTCCCCGCCTGCTGGCTGCCTGCGAGTCTCATGAAGAAAGCTGGAAACACCTGCTCCCCGGCCACATCCAGGAGTGGCAGGGGGCTGGAGAGTAATTATTATTTTGGCTTATGCAACTGAAAAGCAGGGTTCATTATTACCCGAAGAGGAGGAGGAGTCTGGGGCAGTTAATTATATAATGCTCTTGCCTGTCAAAGCTGTGCCCAGCCCCGGTCTCAGGCGGCCTTTTCTGTGCCGTTGTTGTTTTCATGGGGCAGGTTGGAGAGCTTCCCTGACCCTGGGGCGCTGAGGGCCGGGCGGGAGCAGACGGTGCTCCCTTGGTTCCAGGCTGTGGGCCTGTGTGTGTGTATGTGTGTGCGCGCTCGTGCAGGCACAGGGAGGCCCGGGCAGCAGATGTGGGTGGCTGAGACAGGCAGGCAGCCTGGCGCTTCCAGCTGGGCTGTTTAGAGCCCAGGGGCTGCTGTCACCCCCAGGCTCTGGCCACAAGGCTCTGCAGACCTGTCCTCCAGAGGTGCTCCTGGCTGAGCCTGCTCCGGAAGGACTGTGCAGGCTGGGCTCACGCAGGGCATGGGGAAGAGAGGAGCCAGGGCTTTCGTCGTCTCTGAAACTCCCGAGAATATCTGGGGGTGAGGCTGAGCACCCCACTCTGCCCACACTCCTCAGACATCTCCAGTGTCCTGAGGAATCATTTCTTTCATTCAACAAATACTAATGGAATGTTACTATGAGCCAGGTGTGCCAGGCTCTGGCACTGAGCAAACAGACACAAATCTTTGCCCTCATGGAGCTTACATTTGAAGGAAGAGGAGCAGCAATTATGTTGTGGCT